CATGTATAAAACAAAATCTTCTAAACCTTTTCTTCTTTCTTAAGTGATTTATTTCTCATTTTGGAAAGAAATAATAAAAAAAAATAATAATAATCAGTCATCTAGGCCAGTGGTGCGCAAATTAGGGGTCGCAACCCCTGTGGGGGTCATCAGAAGTTTTTTGGGGGTCGCCAAATTTTTATGAAATGCATTATGCCTGCATGCTGCATACCCACAGTTATATAAAAGAGTGAAGCGCCGTCACCCGTTTAATTTCATTTCATGCTGTCCGCTCTTTCTTTGACCGTAATGTAATGTATGTAAAGTGTGACGACGCAAGTTTAACTCCGGTAGATAGTCCCTCTTCGCGGTGTCGCCCTTTTTCTGAAAAGCGCCTATTTGACTAGACGTTAACTGCAAGGAAAGGGAAAAATTCGCTCCTGATCAGCCAATCAGATGGCGAGTACCCGGTGTATCTGATAGTCAGAGTGAGACATGAAGTTGCATGTAGCAGTGCCACAATTGCTTTAGTTTACCTCGAGTTTTATCATGTGACGTTGTGTAATTATGATTTTTTATATTTTTATCGGCTTTGCTACTCTTTGTTATCAGGTATGTCCTATCATTGAGAAAGACCTCTGTTTAATTTTATTGAATTTCTCAAATAAAAATGATAAAATTTTATATATTATTTGTTTTAGTTTAATATTTAACCAAATCTTCATAAGGGATAAATGGGTAAACATACAACACCAGGTCGTCTTCAGCTAAAACAAACAACTGATGAGGAGTCGCAAAATACTGAACTAAATGCCCGATCTCAAAAAATAAGAAAATACAATGATAATTTATTAAGTATGGTTTATATTTTTGTTTTGATGAAGAACGCCGATCTGTGTGATTTGCAACAAAAAATTAGCAATGAGAGCATGAAACCCGCTAAATTAAAAGGCACTTGGAAACTAAAATAAAGACTTCAAAATAAAACATGCTTATTTTTTCAAAGACGTGAAAATCTGAAAATTCAAAGTGCACATTTAAAGAAATTACAACAATACCTCAGAAAGCATTACGAGCTTCTTAGAAGTTTTCTTACCTAATAGGAAAACATGAAACCCCATACAATTGGAGAATTCCTTATCCTTCCTGCAGCAACTAAGATGACATCAATTATGCATGGTGATAAATATGGAAATGAAATAAAAACAATACCATTATCAAGAGATACTGTGTCTCGGCAGATTTCCAAAATGTCACGAAATATCGAGTCAGAAGTAATAAAACGCATACAAAATTTATCTGTATTTGCTTTACAACTGGACAAGACTGCCGATATTACTATAATGTCACAACTAATTATTTACGTTAGGCTATTTTTAATGAAGATATAACAGAAACGTTTTTATGTTGCAATAGTTTAGAAGGAAAAACAACTGGAGAAAAAATATTTGAAGTAATAAATATTTTGAAACAAAGTCCCTTACCTGGGCAAACTGTGTTGCGGTTTGTACTGATGGTGCTGCAGCACTAACAGGTTCGAATAAAGGGCTCAGAGGCTTAATTCAGAAGGTGTCGCCTCATTGGTATTTAATTATTGTATGATTCATCGACAAGCTCTTGTTACAAAAGATATCGATGAAGAGTTGCACAACATATTACAAGATGCTGTTCGTTCAATTAACTACATTAAATGCAACACCCACAACAGCCGTCACTTTTCAATACTTTGCAATAGATGGTTCACGTGGTGGAGATTACTGTTACACCAAAGTCAGATGGCTTTCACGTGGGAAAATCTACGACGGATATTGATTTGAGAAATGAAGTGTACATGTTTTTAATCGAAAGAAACATAGATTGGCAAGTTATTATATAATGAATTTGGCTAGGGAAGCTGAGCTATTTAGTTGATATTTTCGAAAACTAATTTGAGCTTGCAGGGTGGAATTCAACTATCATAACTTCAGGGCCAGTAAAAATCAAGCTTTTAAGAATAAGCTTAATCTCTGGCAAACGGGGAACTTCATGAAAAAAAACACCGAAAGTTCCCCCTGCTTTAATGATTTTATCAAGGAAAATAATATAGATATATTTACATTTAAAAATATCATTTCCAATCACATTGAAAAGTTAAATGAAAATTTTCGAGGATTTTCCTGAAAAACGATCTTGGTGGATTCGTGATCCATTTTCCTGTAACATTATGCAGTTCAACTCTTCAAATTAGTGAGAAAAAGAGCAATTGATAGATCTAATTAGTGATTATCTCTTCGAAAATCAATTTAAGACTCAGCCTTGCCAAAAATTTTGGCTATCTGTGGAAAACAATATCCCTTTTTATGCAAGAATGCCAGCAGAGTGTTAATACATTTGCATCAACGTATTTATGTGAAACTGGATTTAGCAAACTAGTTTCAATAAAACTAATACCGCTCGCTTTTAAACCCTGAAGATGATATGCGAATTGCAATTAGCAACATACAACCAAACATCGATGAGATAATTAGAAACTTGCAGCCACGTACATCTCATTAAAGGGCAATTTACTGATTTTTGTGTTATACAAAAAGTATTTTCTTAAAATTATAAATAAAATTAATACGAGTCAGATATGATGATGTTTTTATTCGATGAAACAAAAGAAATGCGTGAAATATACATCGTATTTATGAACATTTATCTCTAGGGGTCGCCAAAAATTTTCTCTCTACAACAGGGGTCGCATTCAAAAAAAGTTTGCGTACCACTGATCTAGGCTAATCATTTAATATATCTATATTCACCCAAATACCATTTATTTTTTAATTCACTTTTTAATCTTTAAGTAATTAACTTTATTCATATCATTTAATGTGGCTTCTTTCTTTTAAGTTTATTTGTTCTTGGTTAATAATACTTTTAAATTGCAGACCATTTTCTGTGGCATACTTGTGAAACTAATTTTAGCATTATGATGACATACTATCATAAAATTTAGTGCACATGTTTTTTACTTGTGTATTCTTCTAAATAAATATAAAATACTTGAATTTATTTTAGAATATATTAATTAGGTTTCTTTCTTCCTTTAGCTGCAAAATATTTGCAGAAAAGACAATTTTAATCCCGATTGAGCAGATACTAATCTCAATCCTCAGTGGAGAAAACAACTCCTATTATAGTTATTACAGTAATGCTTTAGGAATTACATATATACTGCTGACCATTAAATTTGCAACACCATGAAGGAAAGCAAATACAAAAAAAGATATTTAATGTACAGAAACAGTATGGTATGAAGACAAAATGATTAAATTTGTAAGCAGTTTGGAGGTTACAAGGGTGCTAAATTAGTAGAAGCAGCTGCCACCCCTGGCAACTAAAATGGTCCTTACCTGGTTAGTCTGGAGTCAAACTGGGCTTGGATGACAGAAATGGGCAACTCATTCCATGCTGCTTCAAGTCTATGCCACACTTCATCATTAGCTGGAGATGGATGGTGGGCCACTCTCTCAGCAACCAATGACCAGATGTTTTCAGTGGGTGGCAGATCTGGAGACCATGCAGACCAGGGCAGCAATAAAATATTCTATTCAGGAATGTCTATGTGTTATCTATGCTTAACTATGTTATGTCGCTATACTATGTCCACCTGTTGTGTAAGTTACATTGCATTGTGTGTTTAATGTTGTAAATATGTTATGTTGCTATATTCTATACTATGTCACGTCGAAATGCTATGCCATGTCGAGCTATGTTATATTGCCATGCAATGTCTACCTGTCGTGTAGGTAATGCAGCGATAGGTATTTTATGTTGTAAACATGTTATGCTCTAGAGGGAGTGGCTCCCGAACTGTATCCGATTAGTCTTTGAAAACCATCCGCGTGTCAGGCCCTGCTGTCACATGTGTATTGATGAAGGCCTGAACAAGACGTGCAACATGTGGTCTTATATTTTCTTGTTGAAAGATGGTGTTTGGCAGGCCTTGAAGATAGGACACAACCAGTGGACCTAAGATGTGAGAAATGTACCGATTTGCTTTCAAATTACTGTTGATTTGAACTAGAGATGTGCATATCATGTACCCAATGGTTGCCCAAACCTTCACACCAAGTGCAGGGCCCCTGTGCTGATACCAAATGCATGCAAGTGACATGTGGTCTCCTCGGAGCCTCTAGACACATATGTGGCCACCAGAATACTGCACGTAAAACCAGGACTCATCTGAAAAGGCAACATTGTACCACACCTGTATCCAACTTTGTCGTTAGGCGCTCCTGGGTCGCCATCTCTCTCTATACTGCATTGTCAAGGGAAGCTGATGTAATGATCGCCGTGCTGATAGTCCACACCGCTGCAAAATTGACGTGCCTTACCAGTGGATACTGGGCGTGCTGCAAACATTTCCTGACTAATGGTCCGTGATGTGGTTGTATAGTTTAGCAGGGCTGACTTCACAATATGTCTGCCCTCTTGGGCATTATTCATGGGAGGGCATTGAGAGTATGACCCTCAGCAATCCACCAGTTGGATGCAGTGCTTCCGATGTCGTTTCACCCGCCTGCATTGTCAAAATGCGCTGAAATATTAATCATAAGCATATCCCAACCTCTTCATCCTTTCAATGTGATTCTGATGTTCCTCAGATCATTCCTTCGTGTTTTTGCAATTATAATGTCCAGCTGTGTGCATAAGTCATATGTAATTGTCAAATTTTTCTGTTTTAAAGCGGTACCATAATTTATCTTCAGCACAACCAACGGGCACTGTGTGGATAGTCTTCAATTTTCTTGAAACACACCTAGGAAAAGTCAGGGAATTCCATTCTCCTGTTTGAGTGGCAACCCTGTTTTATGCTCATGCAAAAGTTGTGATTAAAAAAAATTGTGAAATTTTGTTTAACTCAATTGCATGATTTTCATTCATTCCTTGAAATTTTTTGTTGAGCAGACGAATTTGCATTTGAATATAATTTGAAAAAATAATAAATAATGTATAATATGAATATGAATGCACTTAATTTACATTTTCCTTTTCAGTTGCAGAAAATGAAAAAAATGTCCCAGAAGAAATCTCTCCCAAAACAGCATTAGTATCAACACTGCAGTCTGAAACTGGTCTGCCACCTGTTTTAACTGACATCAGTTTCTCACTTCTGAAAGTTAGTACTTTGAGTTTTCCTTATATTACAAAAAATAAATGTTGTTGTTGTGAATTATGTTTGTATTTTAGTTTAAATTTGAAATTGCATTCTGTCACTCAAGCTGTATATCAAAAGCACTAATTAGTAAATTGAAAAGTGTATTTTTTAAAAAACAGAATTAAAGAACACAATGTCTCTCATTAGAAATGATAAGTGTATGGATTGCTATAGTGTCTTTAATGCACCAAACTTGGAAGTTCGTAGAAAGATAACGAGAAAGAATTGTTTTCTTAATTTACAATTCCAAAATGTTTGTTTCATTCTGAAACTGGACTACTTTATTACTAATTTAGTCCCTTAATTGTTTGGATGCATATTAGATGCTTACGTATGTACTTAATTTTTTAACCTACCAAGGATTTTGCTGTAAGCCTCAGAGTTCTAAAATATGTTATGAAAAAGATATACACTCTTTTGAAAAAAAAAAAAAAAATCGAAGCACCATGAAGGAAGTGGTTGTTTTTGATGAAATTGAACATGTGTATAGCTCATACACAGATATAAAATGATTGAAAAATCAAGGTTATAGTACCTGTCTATGGCTCACAATCACCCATTGAGTGTTCAAATTAGTAGGTAGTCGAACTGCCACTGGTGGCAATGCATACTTGAATTCATTGAGGCAAGGAGGTTACTATTGTCATCCATTCTGCCAGGCATTCATCAGTTGTCGTTCCAGATCTGAGATATTTTGTGTTGCCCAAATCTGGCAGCCTACCATGTCCCAGACATGTTCGATTGGTGAAAAGTCTGGTGACCTTTCTGGCCAAGGAAGAGTATCAACTGCACGGAGACAGTCCAGAGGTATGCGAGCGGTATGTGGCCTGGCATTATCTTGTTGGAAAATGGCCCCAGGATGACGTTCCATGGAGGGTAATGCAACCAGCCACAGGATGGTATCAACATATTATTGAGCTGTTAAAGATGTACGGAGGATGACTAAAGATGACCTGCTGTCATAAAAAATAGTGCCCCACACTATAACACCAGGGGTTATGGCTGTATGCCCTTTGCAAAACAAAAGGCTGATTAGGACTGCTGGCCCTGCCCTCTCCGGACAGGGACACGGCCATCTGCTTCAAGAGTGAAACGAGATTCATCACTGAGTACTGTACGATGCCAGTCTGATGGCAGCCATGATGATCGGCTGGACACCACTCCAGACGACTGCGCCGATGTTGTAGGATCAAAGGCCTATGTGAGGTATCCACACCTCAGACAAGTGCCGTGAGATGGTGGGCGGTACCACAGAAGGTATAGACGTGGCTCTAGTGCCTTAAATAGTCGACAGTGGTACTGTTGGATCGGTTCTGGCCTGGTGAACATTTATCCTATATTGCATCGCATTTGCCATCCTTGGCCTTCCAGAGCCTTCATTTCATCGGCAGTTGCTTTATAGCAACCATTGCTGCCAACATCTTTGCACAACAGTGTCTGTATGCTGAAGGTGGTGGCCTATTGCTCAGTATGACCACCCAGCTTCAAGCAACCCTACAATGCCACCACATTTTATGTCATTTAATTGTCTGTAAGGTCTTCGATATCATCGCAATGGCATCTTTTTAGTTGCTTCTTTACAGAATTACAATGGCAACAACAAAAAAAGATAAATTCTCCGCCTCTGTTACTGGTTTTATATTTTGCGAATTGTGCACTAGAAATGTGTGCTATGATCGCAATTCCTGTTCATTTTGCATGTTCGATCAAGATGTTTTTGCATACCAAATTTTGTCATGATCGCAAAAGTCCTTGGTGCTGCAATTTTTTTGCGAAAGAGTGTATTTTCATGATTACATTTCCAAAGTATTCTTATCCTATGGATACATTTTTACCAAATATACTGTGTTGTACAGCCTTAATTGTTTGTAAATGAAGAGAAGTATTTTTGGACATGCATATGATATGGCTGTTGAAAGTTTAATTAAAATATTATTATAATAAACATTGTTGAACATGTAATGGCTTTGTTAATCGAAGGTTAAGAAAAATTCAGCATTGAATTGATGTCAATTTTCGCTTTTATAATGGTGATTTGTTTTTATTTCTGAAAAGAAACTAAGTAACTTTTGAAAATGGCTATGGCTTTAATACTTTTTGACAATAAAATAGGACATTAATTTGCAATTTTTTGCATGTTTCCCTTTCATATTATTAAATGGAATTAACATCAGGCATTTATTACTCACGCTGCTTATGGCAGAATTGATGTGTAATTGCTTGTAATGTAGGTGCAAATTAAACTCTAAAAATAGCTCTATTCCTATTTTGAGTTCTTTAATTTTGGTTTAAAATTAATATAGCAAACTGATGTGAATTTTGTGGAGTTGAATAATTTATTAGCATTCTCTGTAATCATTTCTTTAATTTTAAATCAGAGTCAGTTTGCAAAGTTATACTGATTTAGAATGTGAAACTGCATTGTAGAACACTAGAAATATACTGATGTAAATTTTGTTTTATGGGTAGTTTTTTTAATAGTAACTGCTGTTTAGATTAAAATCATTTTTAAATGTGCTAAATAAGCAATATCATTTTGTAATTTTTTTTATTATATATGTTAAATGAAGTTTTCTACATTATCTACTACAATAATATAATGAATTTTAGGGAAAATTAATTGGTGTTTGTGGACCTTATGGAAGTGGGAAATCTTCATTGATTTCTGCTCTTCTTGGTCAAGTAAGTAACTTTTTCATTCCCAGTATTAATATATGTATATAATTGAGTTTTATATTAAGTATAGATTCAAGAGATTTTTAGCATAAACTGAGGTAAAATATAAAATGTAGAATGTGTACAGTTGCAATGCCTTACTCTCCTGAATTTATATATTAGTCTTATCACTAACCACTAAATAGTAGTAATTCTTTCAGGAACGGATTCCAGGTGCTTGAAGTAGCTAGTTACTTAGTTAGTTGAAAGGGCTAGTTACTTAGTGAGTTTTTTTTCCATCTTTAATATGAATGAAATATATTAACTTTGAAAGCTCCTGAAGGCATCTCTAAGATATATACAGTCAAAAGTCGTTAATCCAGACTCGTCGGGACTTCGGCGATTCCGGATTATCAATTTTTCTGGATTAGAGATCATCAGTTTAAATCTGGTAAGATGGCATGCAGAAATTATAAAATTATAAAATATGAAATCGTAATTTATGAAATAAAGAACAATTATGATCTAAAGGGTATCAAAATTTGCAAAAAAAGAAAGCTTAATATTTATTTGTTTACTTTATTAAACATTTCTTTCAATGTAAGTTGTAAAGCATTCAAAACTTCGTGTCAACATTTTTGTTATCATGAAGCGAATTATAATGACGAGGAATTTGATTTAAATCATATCAAAGACAGAGTACATCAAGATGAAATACTACATTTAGTAAGGAATTATAAGCCAAATAAAATAAAAACATCTGCCCCAAAAGGTAAGGATAGTGCTGACAGATCAATTTCCAGTTCATTGTACGCCGCAACGTCCCCCCCCCCGGCAGAGCAGCATGAAATAAACAAAGGATATGCCTTTATCCATTTTTTGCAGCAATTCCACTTTTTGTTTAATGGACTTCGAAACATACTTTCGCTTTGTAGATCCTTTACATATTAGTAAATATATATCGGAAATTCTATTTGACATAATCGAAAGTTCAAGCTTACTTTTATAAAATTGCTCTAACAGTCTGCAAAAAATAATAAGCCGGATCCAATTCGAAGATTAAGGAACAACGCAATCTGCAACATTAACTGAATTAGATAATTTTAGCTTAGCTTATACCGTCCGTTATACATTAAATGCGCAAGTGTAAACGTATTATGTTATTATGCAAATGCGCACATGCATATTCGCAGCCGTAAAGGTCTAAATGCCTATGCGCAACGAGACGCATGCGCAGAAAGTTTGTAGCTTTGAGGTCCGGATTATAGATTATTCCGGATTATGGGTGTCCGAATTAACGACTTTTGACTGTAGTCCTTGAATATTTTATCATAATAGTTTTCTTACTTCCATTTTTATTTTTATAAAATTTACGTTTCTTTCTGGCTTTGTAGATTACCTTTTAATTCTGTGAATAAAAATCTTGAACCCCATTCTTTCACTCAGGGCTGAATTCTGATGGACCCATGTATAAAGTGAATAAGAACCAGCTATTATTAGAAAATCCTCTATATAAAAGCACATTTCTCATTTGGCTGATAGCTGTTGCATTCTTTGTTTATTCAGTTAAAAAAATCTGATGTGTACACCACATGACTTCCTTGTATGGAATATTAAATTATCCACAATTTTTCTTGCATCTCATTTAACTTATTAGATTGAATTAAACTAGTTCGCCGACAAGCCGCATAAACCACAATAGAATAAATGCATTCTTTAAAATTCACTTTGTTTACCATAGCGACACTCTGGCGCTAGGTTACTTAACAGTAACATATTATATTTCGTTCATATTATAACTCAGAATGCACAAAATTTATATCATTTAAAGAATTATCTAATCGTTGCCACATGTTCTATTCAAATATAAATAAAGCTAGAATCGATTTGTATAAAAGAAATTAAGCAAACAAAACAAAAAGAAAACATTTTTTCACAGGATTGAGTATTTTCATTCAATTAATTCAGTTTTCACTTCGCGACAAGGCAAAAAAAATAAAAACTCAAAATATCTGTATTAAAAATTACGAAGTAATCTTAAACTTATTTCCTCGAAAAAATTCCAGAAAGAATTAAGTATGATTTAATTCGCAATATAAATGAAGGCGTTATTTTGTGTTGTGAAGCTTAGTCTATCTCTGATTGGCAACAAATCTACAATTCTGCTGTTTAAAATGTAAACAAATATGTCCGCCATGTTTTAAAACTTAACCGCACTTAAACGCTTTTAAATTGTTGATTAATTGTACAAATATTGCTCCAGAATACGAAAGGCATAAGAACTTAACCGGAACATAAAACAAATAAATTCAATCATTTTTTAAAGCAAAAAATGTACAATTTACAACATATAGAGTAAGAACTGAGATCACTGAGCCGGGTGACAGAGTGGATATATTTTTAAATGTTTGGCGCGGCCGATTGAAACCAAAATACGAGATGCACATCTACATTGTTTTTGAGTAATGCTAGATACATGTGTACGCACGCACATACGTATGTTCGTACAGACGCCACGAAAAATTCTCTTCAGAATTCATTTTAAAGCAGTTTTTTAGTTTCTTTGGAGGAAAAGAGTCTTTTATTCTGTCCTTACGTAAGATATCACGCAAAAACATCGTTAAATTGCATTCAAAAGCTGTCAAAGTGGATATTTTCGTTGAAATATGCTGCCTGAAGCTTTTCGCAATTACAATACTTCCTTTTTACTTCGTACAAGGAAGTAAAAATATGTTGTTAAAATGAATGTGAAATTAATTTTAAAATGGCACATAAATAGGACAAAAATTTCATTATATAAAGACAGATTTTTAAAATTAAGATAGGCATGTTTTTTAGTATTATACATATGCAAAATCTAAAGCTATCAGTTTAAAATGCAGTGTTTGCTTGTATTTTTTGCAGATGTGTCTTATAAAAGGTCAGATTGCAGTAAGTGGTTCTATAGCATATGCAGCCCAACAACCATGGATTCTAAATGCAACTCTAAGGGAAAATATTTTATTTGGACAGTTGTTTAGTTCTAAAAGGTCAGAACATTTTACTGTTTTATTTTCATTTTAAGAATATTATATGAAAGTTTAGAAATTATAGTAATTTATACTTTTTTTCTTTAAATTTTGATTAAAAGAAATTTGTATTCTTGAAAAATCTTAACTGAGCTATTTTAAGTTTCATTGCTTAGATATTATGAAGCAGTTTATTGTTGTGGACTTCATGATGATATACCTACATTACCTGGTGGAGATCAAACTGAGGTAATGTCCGAGTACAAAGAAAATAAAATATTTTTAAATATAAATTAATAAATAATTATAAATTTCTTATTGTTTTTATAAGGAGAAATCATGTGATCAATATTTTTACATGTTACAATGCATTTTTAATTATTTTTAAAATGTATCCATTACTGAAAATATAATAAATTTATTCTTGTACCTTAATTTTAAACATTTTTGCCAATATATGCTTAATTTCTTGCAATTTAAAATTGTAGTTAATTTTGTGAAATAGTTTGCTGCATTCATACTAAAAAAAAATGTTTTTACACTTTCTCATAGTTGAGCGAACAAGGGATAAATTTAAGTGGTGGCCAGAAACAAAGGATTAGCCTTGCTAGAGCACTGTATGCTGACAAAGATTTATATTTGTTAGATGATCCTTTGTCTGCTGTCGATAGCCAGGTTGGACGTCACATATTTCAGCACTGTATTAAAGGAGCTCTGAAAGATAAAAGTATCTTGCTTGTTACACATCAGTTGCAGGTAAATATCTTGATATATGATTGGGTTGTATGATTGATATTGATATTGGTTGTATGATATATGATTGTTACAGTGATAGCAAGGGGGGAGTTCTTTAGAATTAAAAATTCGAGCGTTTTAATATTAAGGTGGTTGTGTAGTTTAGTATAGATATGTATTTTGTTCTGTCATATTTTAAACCCCAGATGATGAAATATTTAATGGAAAAGTTAGTAGAATTTAGTTTTCAACTTTTATAATAAATTAGTGCATTGAATTTATAACTCATACTTTTTTAAAGCACTTTTAAAATTTCTTTAAATAAACTAATTAAATATCAAAATGGATAATAAATTTATCAAAATTGGTGTGGAAATTGAAAGGTCCGAAAACCATATTATGCATATCAGTAGTTTAATATATTTTACTTTGAAATGTAATTTATCTTATCTCTAAAATTAAATCCTAGTATTATTTTGTTGTTAGAGCTTTTGATTTTTCACGTTTTCTTGATTTCAGTCATAAATCATTTTTGTTCAAATATGTTTTCCTCAAATGAAATATCAAAATGCTGTTTGGATAAAACAGTATAGTTAGTTGTAAATAAGTAATTGTTAATTGTAATAGAATATTAGTGTTCATAAATTTTAAATGCTTAATTCTTTACACGTTGAGCTCTATTAGTTTTTTTTTTTTTTTTTTTTTTTTTTTTTTTTAAGGAGAAAATCTTAATTTGCATTTCTCAGTCATTTGTTTTCTTTTCTTTCTATGGAATATTATCCTGGTTCTTGTTCCTTGTTTCTTCTTAATGCCAAAACTTAAAAGTAGCGTCATCAATAACTTGAAGTATCTTAGAAGCAAAAGTAAAAGCAAAATAATATCACATCATTATTTTATTGCATGATGCAATGCTATTGAATTTCTGAAACAATTTTCAGAGGATTCTAAATTCTTTCATAGTGTAAACCTCGCTGACCTTCATACCTCTTGAATCTCTGTGGTACTATCTTAGTGATCACTTCTTTCCCATATGCTTAGTATCTGGTGTCACGAAATTGCTGACTTTCAATTCTAAAAGACTCCTGTACTATACCATTTATTCTGTCTTCCTTCTAAGTATTAGATTATATATTTATTAATTTATATTAATATTATTAGATTTTTATATTTATTAATTCACTGATTTTTTACGTGGGGGAGGGGAGAGATCTTTTATAAGACACTACCCTTATTAGTTATGTGTAAGTACATTACATGAGATGGAATAGTAGTTTTACTTACACTGTTTCATCAATAAGTACACAAGATTGTTTAAAACTAATTTTGTTGTATTTACTATACATTTTAATATTCTTTTTTAGAAAATTTAAAAAAAAAAAGCATAATTCTGCAATATTTTTGGCACCAATGTGTATGCTGTTTAACATATAAAGTAAATTCTCACCTTTAAATTTGTTTTTCTCTTTCATTGTAAATTTTTCCTAATTATTTGTGTCATTGAAATGAATCAAAGGAATCTGTTATGCATATAGTTTATAAAAATATTTTTCAGTATTTAGAAGAATGTGATAGCATAATATACATGAGAGATGGTACTATTGTTGAACAAGGCACTCACGATGAACTGATGAAAAAGGACTCTGAATATGCATCATTAATTCGATTGCTGCCAAGTAATGAAAAATTAAAACAAGATACTACAAATTGTGAGTAATAAACACTTTTATTATTCTAAAAAAAATAAAGTTTTTATTTGTCAAAAAATTAGATTTGAGGATCAAGAATTCTCAGATCTGGAATTTCTGAGTTTATGGCATGCAGATTTATTATCTTGGTCAGATTTTATTTAGAAGAAATATTTTCATTTAGAGGTTGCATAAATTTGAAACTTTTAAATTTGATAAAGTTCAGTAAGAGGTCAATATTCTGTCTGAGCAAATTCATATGCTCTGACAAAATGTTTGACTTGTGCGAAAAAGTGCCCCCCTTTTTGTATCATACATAAATGGAGGGGAGAAATTGGTATTGTAGAGTTTTGTCTTGAAGTATTGGACTAAAAGAAGATGGTAAAGAGAAATATACAGTATTGACAAAACTTGTTTGGTTTAGCTTGCCTTCATGGACTCTCATTGAAAATTCATTTAATTATGTGGGTGATATTGTGAATGTACAACATCCTTGAACACTGATAACCTACATGCTGTGCAGACTGTAAAATATTATTTATTATCATTACAAAAAAGTAAATGTCAAGTTTTTGAGTTAAAAGAAATCCTCTGAAGCCCTACTGATAAAGATTTTAAGAATAATGTATTGAATAATTGGCAGCTTACCAAAATGCTTTACACTGTATGAAATTTACCTGTTCTTCTATCAGTTTCTCATCTCCAACACCTGTTATGGTGCATACTTCCGATTCTAATCTAATACTTAGAGGGTTAGGTAAAAAACCATTGTCTACATAAAAATGCCTTAACTGATCATACTAGACATTCATTTGTGAGTAAAGAAAATTATAAAAGTAGCAGTTTCCAGAAATTAACCTTGCCTCCGGGGGAAAAAAAAAAAAAAATAATAATAGCAATTATTTTTTTAAATGTTGAGAAATCAAAAAGTAAACAACTATGTGAAATGATGTAGCAAAACATAAAGTAACTTTTAATAAACTTAAGAAAATTACATTGTTTCACTAATGAAGCTGAAAATATGTGTATATGCATGTATGTCACGGTAGTTTTCAGGAATATTTAAATGGAGCTGCAATCATTCCTGTGAGATTTTTCTCTGAAGTAATGAATTACTGAGTCAGCATAACAACTGAAGTTGCCTCAGAATTTTCTTAGTTAGTTGGCAATTATGCAATTATTTGTAGGTTGCGTATTTTTTTAATTGTTTGAATTCATAAACATTTGCATTTAGTTGTATGTTGTGAAATTTTATAATGATCTAAATTTGTAAAAATTTAGAAGCATTATTTTAGAAGTTTTATGCTTGCTATTATGTAAGTAGTATGTGTATGCAAATTAACTTGTAACTGCTGGAGAGACATGAGATCAATAGATTGTCATCAACAACTAATTGCATAAAATGACATAAAATGTGTCAGAAAATACTCTTATCTCAGCAAACATATGCTTTGAAGTTTGTTAATGTTTCTCTTTAGTGCTAAAACACATATGAATGATTTTATATATGTTGTCATTAGATGTTTAAATCCCAATTATTTTGCTATTAAAGGCTATTACATTGATTGCTAATGGAAACATTTCTTATATTATAAAAAGTCTCTTATATATGCAGAGTTATTATAATTAAAATTGTCCATAATCTTTCAGTTTGCAATATAGCCATGGAATTTATTCAAGGTTCATATAACAGCAAAGGCTTTTTATTCTGCTGTAGAATAATTCCTCTTGGTGGCTGACAATAAACAGCATATTCTATTGAGCGTTGTGAACCTCTTCCTTGTATTAACACAGAAGCACCCAGTGCATAGTTGCTAGCATCCATTCAAATAATGCAATATTTTGTTGTATCATTTTGATTCAAGACAGGAGAGCTAATTGAGAAGTTATTTCAATGTCTGCCAAAAATGTGCTTTCTCTGGTCCATCTTACTCAGAGGTACTTATATCCTGATGAACAAGCTGGCTGCATGGGTGTTTTCATGGTTTCCCCCCATGTGTAAAGTCTATATAAGCCAGTTCTCTTAGCAAATCCTCCACAAAGGCATCCCTCTCCTTAGGCAGATAGCCTTCAAGTGCTTTGCCGTAATTAAATAAACCAACCTGTTTGGTGGTAGGTTCAGTAATTATTAAAAGGAATATGGACTGAATATAAATTTATAATTACCTTGAAAAACTTGGCTTTATCATACAATAAATAAGGTTTAGACTTTTATATGCACTTGTAGAATTTTTTACGTGTTGGCATTTTCATGCAATACTGAATTGTGTTGGTTGGCTTTTTCCATCTTGTTGTCCCAAAAACAAAATTAAAAATACATATGCAGATAAACATCTGGCACGAGGACAGAACCACCTATAGAGAACGATAAAATAAGGAGAAAAACATTTTGAAACTTAAAATATCTCCTTCTCATCTGAATTGTCTAGCTCAGGATGACTGTTTAGGAAGAGGACACCATTTGAAATTGGATGCAGATAAAGTCCAGTTGATGTTTGTACTTCAGCAACCAAAAGAGTCCATTTTTTCCCGGAGAAACCTCTCTGATTTTTCCAAGATTCTATTTCAAAGGAGGAAGAGAATGTTCTTTGAGATACACCAAGTCATTCTTTGAATATTCTTCGCATGGAAAGTCCACTTTTCTCATAGTTGCAGTTGATTCAATTATTCTTTTTACTTTCCTGTCTAAAACTGATTACAAAGTTGCTGAATCAGATGCCATCTTGACTTTACTCTAAAACCCCTAAATCTAAAAAGGCCCTGCAATCATGGATCAGCATTTTTCCTAAAACCGGAAAAAGTGTTAAGTGACTGGTTTGTAGACAGCAGGTGGCAAGGATATGTCATAACCCGAACTGTGACATGTTTGTAACAGGGTTCGTAGCGGTCCTTACAAGTGCCTATAAGTCCTTATATTTGAAAATAAAACAAAGGCCCTTATAAGTGCTTACTTTTTCTTTAAAGCCCTTATTTTTTTTTTTTGTTTTTTTGTTTTAGTGCTTATTTTTTGCTTTCACTGCTTTCTTTTAATGAACGCGCATTTCCCCCCGTACCAGAGCCGAAACTAAATAAACAACTTTTCTTCCTTATATGGATGATGGTGAATCATACTCTAGAAATAGCTTTTCCCCCTTTCTCTGCATTAAAGTAACCTATGGTGCACAAGAGAGTACAGACAGGTGCACGTTGTTCTATTGGTCAAAGAATTGCGAAAACCGTAGAAAATTGCGGTACATTCGGTATTCTTTTCCTCCCACCCAAATACTACACACGTTTGAATTTCTATCAAAATTTTAATAGTTTGCATTCTCATTCTCTGTGGTCAGTTCATATTTGTGTGTATTATGATCGTTATGCTTTTATTTTGAGCATATGTATGAATATTTATAATAATATAGTTGCAGTAGCTGCTGAAGTGTAGATAAACTTGGTGTATGGGTGTATTTGGGTAAAATAAAAATGGGTGTATTTTTACACAGATTAACTTTCTAAGGAATAATATTCGGAATGGCTTAAATAAAAGGAAAGTAATCGAATAGTCCGAATAATTTCTTTTTTTGGGGGGGGCAATACATGATACAGTACGGAGGTTGGGAGGTTCTCCACTTTCTCCGTAAAATCTCTAATATTGAAGCAGCGATTTTTTTTTTTTTTTTTTTTATCACTGTCCAATCTGGATTAAATAGGACTAAAAGTTTTGCGGTCTACCCAACCTAAGCGAAGAATGATTCTATTCCAAAAATTTAACGCAGTCTGTTCAAAATTAGAATCAAAAACATCCCAGATTAGTAAGTCTCTTTCTTTTCCTTTATTTAGTTCTTTATTCTCCAAATACCGGCAGCTGTTGATTCCGATTGCGTAATATCGGGTATGGAAGAATTATGCCGCACGTATTGCGCAATAACGTTTGCGGTATTTTGCAGAGATAATTAATTTTGATGTTCAGTCTGAGATTTATTTATGAACACTTAAAAGAGTTTTACTGTGCTTTCTAAGCAGAATATTTCTCAGTTCCGTTGGTCTATTTTTATATGATGCACATATCGAAATATCAAAATCATTTATTTAGCCGAGAAATCTAAAGAACGGCTACAATCTCCCCCCTCCTCTTTTTTTCAGTTACGCTTGACTATACGGAACATTCGGCAATTTCTGAGTATGCGGGTTAGTTAACCTTTTACTATTAAAGGATGACTGCATGAAGCAATTTCCTGTCTCCTGATTTCAGAAATGTTCCTCCTTTTTTACTTAAATTACTTTGCTTGGAATATATGTTAAGGAAAATCTATTATGCAATGAAAATTTAGAAAATGTTCAGAATTTTGATTTAAGTTAAATTATTTAAATATTAATATGAGTGGAAAAATAAATTGTTTTTATTATTAGGTGCTAAGCAAATACAATTAATATGGCTTATTATTATTTATTTTCTATATTTGAATTGAAATTTCATCATTAAATCTGGTAATATAGTTTAGTTCTGCATAGTTTTTTTTTTCTCTCATTGTAAACTAATTCTGTAAATTAAACTGGCATTTAAAATTAAAAAAAAAGTTAATTGTTTTCCAGTAATGCTCATTCTCTTAATAAATATTGCATTGCTCATATTTTAAATTTCAAGTCTAATTTTTCTTTTAAGGTTATGCAGTTGTGTATAATGTAATTAGACAGGTGCTTATTTCTTTTCTTAAAATGTGCTTGAAAAGTGCTTATAGATGCTTATTTTTTTAACTAAAATGTGGCTATGAACCCTGTGTAAGCCATGAAACTTGCAAAAATGAAAAATCTGCTCCTTTAAATGACTCTTTTGATGCATCACAGCGTTGGTGCATGAGATTCATGAATTATTATGGACTAAGTTTACACACCATCTTGCCAAAATTTCACAGAAATTGTGTCTTGTTGAAGAGAAATTAATAAACTTCGAAAAGTATGTGATTAAAAAGAGAAAAATAACTAATTTTAAAATGTCTTAAATAGAAAACATGAATGATACCGCCTTGACTTTTCATCTCCATAAAAATTTCTCTGTTGATAAAAAGGATGAAAAAACAATTTGGTAAAGATGACTGGTCATGAGAAAACTCTTTTTCACAGCACTTCGTACCTGTTTAGCAAATGGCAATAAGTTGCCTCCATGATTATTTTCAAGCAAAAAACGTTACTCATCTGTCAGGTGTTTCTTATGTGCATCTAGAAAAATGCTTAAGTGGATGGCACCCTAACAATTGACTGATTTCAAAATGTGTGGTGCTAAAAACCAGGTGAACTTTTAGGAGAACCTTCCCTTTTGATTGGGGTATGTTTCGACCACATCATTCAGAAGTAGTGAAAAAGCATGCAGAAAATTCAAAAACAACACTTTCTTTGATTCCAGCAGGTCTGACATCCATTTTACAGCCCTGGTTGTCACATAAATAAGCCATTTAAGGTGAATATGCACAAGCATTGGGTGGAATAGATACAATTCAATTTCTGTACTAAAACCAAAGGTGGCGATATTAGAAAGCCAGACATAACTGTAATTGCATGGTGGGTGAAAGACATTTGGAGCATGATTCCAGCTGAAATGAAAATCAAATCATTCAAAAACTGTGGCATTGCCAATAACTTGGATGGCACAGATGATGATGATGCAATCTATCCAAATTATGAAAGTGACACTAACTGTGATGAATCAAGTAATGAAATTTATGATGACTTGCCAATGTATGAAAAGGAATTTCAGGATTTATTTGGCGATTCTGAGTCTGAATCAGAATTTGAAGCATTCGAATAAAATTCTTTGAAAATTTTATCATGTGCTAAAATGGAAATAAAAAAAAATTCTCTAAATCAGTGAAATTTTATTGAGAACATTGGCATGCTGTTTTTTCAATGGTGGTGGCTGCACCGCCGCTTCTGCAAGAAGTTTATTTTTCTGAAAATTTTTCTCAAAAGTGTGGTGGTCGACTTACATAGGGGGTATATACAGTATGTTTTGCATATTGGAGATTTAAAACTGCACTGATAAGAGTGAAGCAACAAACATAACTCAAATAATAATTAGGTATAAAACTGTGAGAGAATAAATTTTGTGAAAAGTGAAAAAATAAAGAAAAGTGTTTAAATAAAATGAAAAATAATTTGTTTATCTTCAATAAAGGAACTTATACAAGACATATACTTGATCAGAAAGTGCTTTGGTGTATTTCATAGCCTCTTTATTATTTATCAAATAATTTTCTTTACCAGTTTTTATTTTTATATTTTCTTTATATTTTAATTTTTATATTTAGCATACTTTATTCCCTAAATTTAAATTTTCATGAATTGTGACGTTCTCTTCAACTTGTAGTTGTAATCTATAACTAATATGAACCTATAGGAATGTTTTTGATTTAATATGAAGTATATGTAGTCATTTAATGCTATGACTTCTAAAGGTTATGCTTACTACAAGATGTTTATCTTAATGCTTAAAATCTTAATGATTACTAATTTATGGAAACAAAGACATTTTGTGACATTTTAACATTAGAATTACCAGTACTAAATGCATACTAGTTTTACATTTAGTCTCATGTTGACAGCATTTCTAATGTTGAGGATGCTTTGATGATTATCTTTTCTACTTTATCATATGCTTCTAATGTGTTAAAATTTTTATTTGTTTATTTCATTACTAAAATTTTAATTTCTTTCCCCATCCTTTTAGTTAATGATAATAATGAAACTTACATTCCTTCACATGATTATAAAAAGTCTTCAGTCTTAAGCTCTGCAACTGATTTATATGGCTCTGAAGGTAATATTTGTTTTTTCTTTTAAAAATGCTTATTATATTTAAGCTAAGTATTTGTTATATTTAAGATAAGAATTAATCCTAAAACTGATGCTTTCCTTAAATATATTTACATTATAAGTGAAAATGTTCTTTACTTTTCTTGGTGTATAAAGATTTTGCTTTGACTGGAAACTAAAATTTTCATTTTTCAATCTTACTATAAATATTAATATAATGAAACCTTAATTTCCTGTTTGGTGTCTTTGCAAATTTATTCCAAAGTTTCTTTTTTAACATATCAGATAATAAATTATTCTTCAAAAGATAAGTCAAACATTTAATTTATGTAAGGTAGATAATTTTCTTGTTCAACTGTCACATATTTTAAGCACTGATGTCAAAGAAGAAGGGATGGAGAAAAATTGTTTGATTCAGTATTTTATTTATTAATCTGCTATAATTCAGGCTGTTTTAAGGCTAAAAGTTATTTTTATTTTTGAAGAAATTAACATATTATACTAGCTGGATTCTGCTTTTGCTTTGCTTGCATATCTCATTCTCTAAGTGTGCTTAGGTTCTAAGTCACTCTTCAACTTACTCTGTACATACCTGTTCTGCCCTGCTAGTTTGCTTATATCTACAAATTATATCTTCTCAATATAATGTTTTTGTTAAAATTTAAATGTTTGTTGCTGTGTTTAAATTAATTTCAACAAACTTATTTTATATAAAATTATTTCAATAATTAAAAATATTGGAAACTGGAATGTGGAAAAAATGTATATAAAGAAAGCACTGAATTTAAATTCAGAATATTTTTATGACTGAGAAAGGAATCAGTAAATTAGAAATGTTAATACATAAATATATTTATTAGGTAGAAGAAAACTGTTAACATTAATCTAGGCTAGTCATTAAATATTCTGGAAAAATATTGAATCTGAAATATTTGGTATATTGTTTTCAAATTGTAGCAAAAAGAGAATGTAATCTTTGTCTCCTTGATTTAATTAACTTAGCATTTTATTGGTTCTTTAAATGTGCGTATTTGGAAATGGTATTGCTGGCTACTAAAAAATCAAGAGGAAATTCAAAGCTAAAATCTTTTATAGTATTTATATTATGACTGTTTGCTGTAGTGTGTTAGCTTGCTATATAAGGTACTGCAGAGACGTCCTTAGTTCACATTTTGATGCTAATATTATGAATGCATGCTTCTAATGCATAGTCTTTTTGTACAAATTGATTTTCACCTAGTACTATAAAAATAAGATGTACAGTAATTACAACTTATTAAAATCACTTCTTTTCCAAAACATATTTGATTTGTTAAGCCACAAAGTTTAATATATTGCTATTTTTTTTACTTTTAAATAGTGATATCAGTTTTAAACTTTTCGAGTAAAATAATAATTATCAAGTTAATTAATTAAATCTTAAAAAAATAATTAAAAATTAAATCTGAAATTAAACTATATACACTTTTAAAATTCATTTTAAAATCTTTATAAAAATATTTTTATAGTTACGTTCTTGGTGAAACTTTATCTCTTTCAAATGGTTGTTCCATCTGTGTTTGTTTCAGATTGTTCAACAACATTTTTTCAATTGTATTCTCAAGTTTGTAAAACTGTTGGTAGCTTTTTTCATGTGCACCTTTTCGTTCAAGAGTTTTACTTAGAATTTAGTATGCTTTTCTAAATTCAGTTAATGTTGGTATGCCATCAGTTTTTTCTGTATTACTTTTGTTATCAGTTTCTGCAGTTTGTTTAATGTTTTTGTTGTCAATTTTTGCACATGTTGCCTCAATATTTTTATGAATTGACATGTAAAGAAATGAATCTTCATAATTTCTCTATTGTCTTAACATTAGCACTCCCTCTAAAACATCTTCTACATCAAAATCACATTTTCCTAAAAACAGCTTTTAACTGATTTCAAGAGATTACATCCCTGCATTAACTATAATATGCATGGCTTCTAGAGATATTGACTATTAATATATATATCCAGGATACATATAATATCCTGAATTAATATATCTAGGATACATATAATATCTAGTATTAACATATACAGGATATATATATATTGATAGTCGATACCAGAGGTTTGTGTGTTTTGCAGTTATCTAATTAATGAAATTATTTTTTTCAATTTTTTACTCTGCTGTCCCATTTCAAAAGAAAAATCAGTAAAAAATACTAATTGTTATCCATGAGTTCTTGTTGCTCATAAGTTAGTGATAAACTTTTGACTCCTTTCAAGGTTTTCTGCTTTCTTCAATAATCAGTGCTATCTTTTTAATTGTTGGGTCCATATTGCACATTCATAATACAGTAACTTATTCCTTCAGTTCCTTAACACCAACTACTGTTTCATATTTAAATATTAAAGTGTGTGTTTTGGTAATACCCTATAATGTTGTCCAGTTTTGTCTGTATTATAAATTTTTTGTAGCTTGTATTTATTTAAAAGTTCTTCTGTTTCTCTAGCATGTGAGACAGATGTCAGTTGTTACAAAATTCGGTTTTATTATTTTGCAAATTACAGTACAATGTCTTTAATCCAGACTCGTCAGGACTGCAGCGATTCCGTATTATAGATCATCAATTTAAATCTGGTAAGATGGCATGCAGAAATTATAAAATTAAAAATATGAAACCGTAATTTATGAAATAAAGAGCAATTATGATTTAAAGAGTATCAATTTTTTTTTTTTTTTTTTTTTTTTTTTTTTTTTTAAAGCTTAATATTTAGTTGTTTATTTTATTAACCTTCCAGCGGGCGCGCCTTCTGCACCAACAAGAAAGGTTGCGCGTATTTCTTAGATACGCTATTATAAAAAATAAGTTTTCCAGAGCAAAAAAATTAAAATTAATTTGTAAACAGTTAAATGTTAATAAGTACAATTGAATAAGTACATTTGCGGTTTTGCAGCTGAAGATGATGGTTCGGTAAAACCATCGATACTAGTCCTGTGAAAATTTTTTAAATATAACGCTGATTTTTGTTGTTTGACTTCTGAATAAGTACAATTGAGTTAAACAATATTAACTTTAAATTAAGGAAAATAAAATAAGTATAAAGCAAAAAACAATATAAAATGGACTAAAGACTTATCAAACTAACTTGAAAGTAAAACAAAATTAAACTGCCAATATTTCAACTGAACTTTTATATTTTTAATCAGTAAGTGAAAAAACACATTAAATATTACATAACAAATCAATTTCATAGTCACTTCATCGGTACAGTCTGAACAAATATGTTTACAGTGCTCTAGACAAATGAATTTTAAGCAAATTTCACAGCTGAACCTCGTAATTCTAGTATGCTTGTCATTTTGGCAGGGTTTGCATCTTTTTTTCCCTGAAGTCATTTCTTCAACGACAGCTAATTCTGCTTTTCGTTTCAACAATTTAAATTTCAGCTCACTTTGAAGAGAGTTAGGGATTCTTTTTTCAACGTTTTCCTTCACAAGATCATTTGCTAGCTTTTGCAGATATTATCTTCTAAGTAATTTTTCACTATTATTTGTTGAATGAATTATGTAGCTATTGATTGCTGCTATATTCAGCATAGAGAAGAAAACTACAAGAGGCAAACGCCTGGTGTTCCTGGCAACATTGTAGGAAGCACAGAGTTTATCCACTGTATCCACACCTCCTTTGGTACGATTGTAAAATGTGATAATCTCAGGCTTTTTTTGGTCTTGGGTATTTTCATCTATTGCTACGTCATCATGAAGATTTGAAATCAATATGACGTTTCTATAACGTTGGGTACATAGGAGAGAAGTGTCATATTTTTTCTAAATCCAAAAAGACTCGTATAGGGTTCCCGAGTTTTCGTCTGCTTGAACTGATCCGGAATTTGAGGTTTATTGTTTTTCAAAGTACCTACAAATGACAATTTTTTTCATCTATTTCTCGTACTAACTCAAAACTTGAAAACCAGTTGTCTGTGGTTACATTTCTTCCAGTGTTATCAATGGGTTCTGTCAACCTTTTTACAACATCTTGTGGTTTATTGCTTACGTAAAGAGACAATCTCGCTGCGCTCCAGCATAAATGCCCATATTGTATGTGTAAAACATACGAGCGTCTACCATGGCATAAATTTTTATGCCATATTTGTACGGTTTTTGGGGGGAATGTATTGAATAAAACCACATCTTCCTCAAAATCCTTCTAATTTCTCATCGGTTGTGACATTCTCTCCAAGTGAATAGCACTTCTGGCAATTAGAGACAAACTTTTCAAAAATGTTTTTTTATTGGAAGCCAAGCGGTCGACTTCTCTTCGTTCTGCTCTTGTGTTTATGTCATCAAACCGTAAATCTCTTAGTAAAAACAAAAATCTCTTCAAGTTCATTACTACTTTAAAATTCCTCCATTCTTGCACAGTTCCTTCAAGATTCCAGAACTCTGTTACCATGATAAATACCAGCTAAGTAAAGTAAAGCCCAAAAGAGCTTTTATTTCTGCTCCATTTCCGTTTCTCTGCTGTCCCTTATACGAGAATAATTAGACTTCACAGAAGAAATAAACTTATTCATATCTTCAGCGATGATTTCTATCAAACTATCAGTAACGAGGCATTTCCATATATCCAAAATATCTGTTAGCTATTTAGCTTCACCGATGACTCCAGAAACATGAACACATAATGTTACGAGGCGCTCGTTTAGTTTTCTTTTTATGCCATGTCCAAGAATCGATGACTTTTCTGTTTTTCATTTGATGAGCTATATACATTTCGGAAGAATTATTATCATTATTTCCCTCTTCAGAATTGCCCTCTGCACTAATTTCCGATTCTGAATCACCTTTTTCTGAAATTCGCTCTTCTTCGTCTGTAATGCTTTCATCTATAATAATGTCCTCATCGTCATCACTGTCACATAAAAGCATATTTCTTATAATCACAAGATCTTTTGGATCATTCATGTCGAGCATTTTACTTTTATTCACCATAACTGAAAAGAAATGTACAAAAATATCATACATGGTCGCGCGT